TGCTAGTCAGTCTGATTTGGCTGCAACCACTAAGATGTTTTGGACTCTGTAATGCAGCCTTACTTAAAAATGCACATCGAATGTGCAACAGCTAGAATGTTTAGAGAGGAAAAATGCTGTTTTCATACAAACAACTAAACCATGTTGTTGTCGGAGATAGAACATGGCTATGGATGGCACTTGTGAATTATGTCCAGTTGAAATATGTGCACAGTGAGCATGTTTAATTTTTACTGTGCACTGTCCACTTTTGTTTATGAGTTCAGGGTCGACGTGGTGACAAGGGAGGAAAAACATAAGGACACGTTCCATTCGAGACCCACCATGTCTACAGTGCATTGTGAAACAAGGCCTTGTAGAGTCTAAGAATGTCAAAAAAAAATTTGGCGGAAAAAAGAGTGAATTAATAACTCAGTTATTCAAAGCAGCTTTTAACAACCACAGATCCACAGAGGCTCTGTCATCAAACAAATAATTGCAGGAACAGTACAAGGATATTTACCCTGTGATCCTATTTACACTTTATGCGTCATTATCAAACAGACTGCTATCCGATTGGATATACACATTACAAATGGCCATGTAAATGTGACTCTGCAAACGACATATAAATCCATTCTACTGTTTACATTCATGATTTTGCTAATTAATGTTGAATTAAATAAAAAAAAAATGAATTTGTAAAATGTAATTCATTTTAAATTAAACATTGAATTAAAAATGTAATTAAATTCAATTTAATTTAAATTTTGAGAGCATTTCTGAGGAATTCCTATGGAAATGCACACTGCGTTTACAATTGGCCACATAAATGTGAATCTGCAAATCACATTTAAATTCGTTCTACTATTTTTCCATTCATGATTTTGCTAATGCCAGGCAGCAAATTAAAATTAAATTTATGAATTTATAGATAAATAACATTTAATTTATATACATTAAATAAAATATTGAATTAAATAAAATAAATTTCATTAATTAAATTACATTAAACCTTGAGAGCATTTCTGAGGAGTCCCTATGAATATGCACATTGCATTTACAATTGGCCACATGCATGTAACTCTGAAAATCAGACAGCAAATTTATATTTAAATTTGTATTATATTTGCTATATTGCTGGAACCTGGCATTAAACTGCTTTGCTAACTCTTGGTAAACTTTTGGAAATGACCTACAATGTTAGCCTAAAACAATTCTTGCTAATTGGCTATTGGTTAACGAAAACACACATTTGTTGAAAGATCATAGACTGATGAATCATTCACAATAACGCATGAACGCGTATCAATAAGACCCATGGTGATTTCATGTTGATTTTGAAATCATTCTCCACATCTGGCACCTCTTCTACCGACCCATTCAATGGCATCTCATGAGACAAATACATATTACCGATATGAATCACATTAGTAAGCAAAGTAACTTACGAGATGCAGAATATAATGCCAAGACTGCTGAGGACCAGACAATATTTTGATCTCCTCCATCTCACACCTGCCTACCGACACTTTTCACACCAATTCCGATCCACAATCAAATATTTACAATACTGCTTTACAGTCCACAAAATATTTTACATGTCTTCCTTTAAGCAGGCAGCATTAGAAGACGGACAGCTTTAATAATGCCTCAGCCGTTAATATTACAGCCTATTTTCTTCCCTCCAGTCTGTAAAATATGTAATTTTATATCCTACGTGTCATTTTAAGGCTTCCCCCAGCTGTTTCGCAAATATAAACAGGCCTTTCATTAAACAAAAACACTGTGGGGACTGTAAATGAACTTATTTGAAATGTCCCGGAGCACTGAAGTACCATGAGCTTTAACGGTCTCATAGTATATCACACATCGCAGAAGGAGACCATTTAATATCGGCAATAAATGCAGGAACAACCCTGTATATCTGCATGCTGCTGGTTTCACATTCAAACTCAAGGTGAAACGCTACTGAGGCCTTCAATGTCAAATCAGAGTAAGACAAGCAGAGCGAGTGAGCGCATACGGCGATAGGGTAATAGAAAAGCGATGGCAGTCAGATAACATTGTTTGAAAATATCGATGGCTTACAGAGATTTGCGGGCTGTGTTGTGGTTGGCTCGGTCCGAGTCCTCGCTGATGACAGAAGAATGTCACATGAGAGCAGAGAAACTGCAGACTCCAACTTCCCTCCAACACACATGGGGAAAAATGTTTTGACACCAGGACAAATACAGTGATTTTGGAAAAGAAGAAAAACAGAAATCTGTCATGGTCAAAACAGTCAAGGCAAAGGACACAGCAACACCCACATTGATGATAAAGTTTTTATTCTGAATATACTTGAACATGAATTTTAGACAGTTCCAGGATTACAAACAGTGGGTTTTTTTCATAATTTCTGCCTTAGATAATTATTTTTACTTTTTAAATTAATTAATATATATTTTTTAAACAAATATACAGACCGTCTGAATCAGGCAAATCAAGAATCACAAAAGCCTTACGCGTAAATCAGTGGTTCTCAGTGTTCTGAGGCTCACGGACCGCAGAAAAACAATGCTAAACGCAAATAATAAAATCCTATTGAGCATATAATCTTGCATGGACCTTAAGGTCAATGCCATATTTAATTTTATGTGAAGGAAAACAATGCTGTGAGGGATGAACATACAGTTGGTTGTACTGTTGTATACCTTGGTGTTGATCATTCATCCAAAAAACGTTAAAAATATCTTTCCAAAAAAACAAACAAATAAATAAAATAAAATAAATAAATAAAACTAAAATTCATTAAATTCGATTGAAATGAATTACAATTGTTTAAAAAATACATTATGCTTTATAAATAGAAGCTTTTAAAAGGAAGGAGAAAACGCTTCCTATATATTTTGTAGTTGACGTCAAAATACTTTGGCGTAATTTAATTTGTCGTTTTAATAGAAGCTATTTAACCAAATTAGGCCGATGACACAGTAATTTCAAATTGTTCAAAATCCTCAAAACTATGCATGGTGGAAAAAAAAAAAATACAACCCAGACTACATTAAATGCAGGTTATGTTTGGTATTATTTGGGTCACCACTTAAAATCTGGTTCCTGAAGCAAAACCAGATGCGAACCACTGGATGACTGTACAATTAAGGGGGACTGAAAATAAGCCCACGGATAAGTCCTCCAAAACCCTGACCGAGGCAGACTTACAGCCAGCCGGGAGGCAAGTGGAGGCAGCAGGATCTGACTGACCACTTAAAACATGCTGCACACTATCGGACAGTTCCAGAGATCAAAACCCACACAGACAACGAGACAGAGAACCAAAACGCCAGCTACAAAACCCCTTTTTAAATCCATTTTGCAATATTCTGTTCCTGATGTGACAGCATCTGAGCTCAGTCTACAGGAAGTTAAACGAAAGCCTTTCTTCGTCCCAGTTTGTCTGAAGAATTAAGTTGCTAAATCTAATTCAGTATTTTCTAAGGAATAATATGAATTGATCTCATATTTCCCCTAAACATCTGTCTTTTTGATATTCTAGAAAACACTTTCACCTCTATTACGGTATCCAGTAAACAATTTCTGTCAGAAGCTGGAGACCCTTAATGCTTTCAAATACTGGTCCCAAATCAGTTTGGACATTTAAGGTTAAGGTTAGCTTGGATCGTCAGGATCGGGATACGTCTCGCTTCAGCAGCTGTCGCCCCAAGAAAAAGGCAATGAATGTTAAGGTGAGAATTTCAGCGAGATTTCGCAAAAAAGGTCCTTTGTCAATAGTGTAGCGATGAATGAAGCACAGCTCACACAAAAGTCAGTTTGCTAAAAAACGAAGGTCAAGTCGGGTGCATTGCATTGTGGGATACAGTATTCCATGCAGTGTGCTGTTGAATACTGCATATTTTAGCAAAAATAGTTGGTCTTCTGGGAATTTTGTATTTGTATATTTAAAATTTGCATACTGCCTATAGTATACATACTGCGAATATAGTAGTAGTATGCTAGTATGCTATTCTGAACAGAGCTATTCTGTTACTTTACACACTCCAGCATCTACAGAGGCAAATGCAACATCACACACACAGAAGCCGATCGTAATTCGTCGAGTTAACGGTCTGGAACTGGAGAGGTTTTCAATAATTTCTCATTTTGACGCAGCCAATTAACTACATTTATGGTATTTTTGATCATACACTGATTTAATGCACATCACTTCTAGAATGCTTGTCTGATTACAGCGATGAATCATGGAAAGATTTCGAGAAGAATGGCTTTTCAACGCAAGCCAAATCCACAAAGTCCAATCATGTTGTTTTCAGGTGCATTACCAAAACCGTTTCCTGTGTACAGATGAAATGATGCATGAACTAGCAGTGATGTTGCTCACTAGAATTCACTTTCCATCCCGGATTTGATGTTGTGTGTCTTCATGTCTTTTAATTTCCTGTTTGTCTACGCTTCTAAAATCAGAAAGAACACAATGATGGTAATCAGTGCTGACAGAGACCCAAACGACTTTGTACATGTATACACTAAGCCAAAACCAATGCAAATAAGGTTCAGCGGCCATTAATAACTTGCAGAAACCATCTGTTTGCTTTTAATTAATCATAATTCATAATCAATACAATATTGAATATATTAGGTATTGGATAAGCATCAGGCATCCCTCCTTCGCTTCAAAATAAAAATAACTTGGTTAACTGAAAAATAACTGAATGCTAAATAACTGAGCATTACTTAATAACTGAATAGAAAACCAAAACAAAACAAATTTGCTTTGCTTTTTCACAGACATAACATGTAACAAGTAATCATTTATAGTTGGAGTCACATCCCCCCATTAATTTTTTTCTCTATAAATTTCACCTACTTTTACTACATATTTCATATTTTTATATTTCATTTAAACAAAGTATCAGTAGAAGTAGTGGTAATAATAATAACAAAATGAATAAATAAACTAAAGTAATTAAAATAAAATATATTATTATTATAAACAAATATAAAGCTGAAAAACATTTTAAAAACGCATTCATTTTGTGAGTAGTTCAGAGCTTCCGTAATTATTCTTGTCTCTTCTCAAAGTCTTAATTATTTCATAAATGGCCCAGATTTCACTGAGGCACAAAGATCCAGTCAGGATCTCTTAAAGAGACAGAAGGTTCATTTTGGTCAGATCAGAATGATGATATTTTGCATTTTTCTGCAGAGTGATCAGGGTCAGATTGCACATTGTGATATTCATTCACTTATTTTTATCTGAATCCATTCACATCAAGGCACATTGACAGGAAAGAAAGGCTGACAGAGCTCTGCCTCTGACATTAAAGTGAAAAATGACACACCAGAGACTCGTACACCCGAAAGTCAGCACAACCAGGGGCAACATTTCTTATAAAAACTCTTGAGTGTCTCAAAATATCTGTAAACATTAGATCATTTTCTTCCCACCTTTTTGAGTTCTCCAGATGATATTAAAGTGTGGGAAAGAGCAACTATGTCATAAACGCCTTTCACCCTTTAACATCTGCATATCCACACACATACATTAAATATAGCACATAAAACTCGACATTAAACATACAGCAGAAAACTCTTTGCTCATTTAAAATAACTTAATCTAAAATAAACCGGTAATGCACCAAAAAAGAAAAAAAACACACACATGCAACAGCGGGGTTTTCTCTTCATATTCACAGCCAGGACGCATAAATTTGCGAGCTTTTGTGAATCGGCTGTCATTTAAAAAGCCCTAAATAAGAACCAAAGGGCTGTTTGGCCACACGACCTGCTTGGCATCAAGTGCAAAGTACAGCAAGACAACACACAGGGTAACGTTTGGCAGCAGTGCATGTTTGAAATGCACTATGGGCAGATAAAAATCACCGTGTGATAGCAAATACGGGCACCCGTGGACTAATGGAGGGAGGGATTGTTCACTCGAAACAGCGGTCAGAAATGAAACCGATATTCCCGAGGCACAGAGGTGGAGGAGACCACTGGGAAAAACAAGAGACTTTTGCATTGGGTCACAAGCTCATTTGTCCTTTTTTTTCAGTAATGAGCTGCAGACCACAAACAAGGCTGAATTTTGACCCGACCCGGAGGGGTCCATTAAAGATGTGATGTGACGAGGCCATAAAAGTCACATATAAACAGTTTGTAATACTGAGAAATTAGCCGTGTAAATATGTTGAAGGCATCACACCGGTAAAGGGTGAAACTTTGGTTGGCAGTGTTGTGACTGGATCTTTTTTTTTTTCGTTTTAAAGACAGGACGTATCTTCATAGCGAAGTGACGATGAAGTGTCAAGGTCTGCCCACCCCGTCACTCATGTGGAGAGAGTCTGACCTCACAGGTCAAATGTCAAAGGTCGTTGCTCATATATCATCTCCGACCTACTTTGACCTTAAATGCTGTGAGTGATCGCGGCTTGGGTTTTGTACTTCCTGGGTCAGAGCCTCTCCCTCCATGTGCTGGGCTGTAGCGTGGGAGTCCAGATGAACGATCAAATGTGCAGCTGGATCTGGTACGTTTTGGCATCGTTGAGGGGGTGTGGCATCTCCATGCTGAGGTCACGAGAGGCAGTGTCCTCGTCCAATCAGAAGCCAGAGCAGCGGCAGCTGCAGAATGACCATGGACACGATTGATGGACTCAGACCCGACGCTCCACCGCAATCCTCGTTCTGTTCCTGTTGCCATGCCAACAAGAGAAAGCCAATAAATCTGCTGGGGAACTAATGGTGTGATCACATAGTGTGGGAATTACCGTAATAATGTGAAGTAAAAGTTTATGTCTTTGCAAACTTGTAATAAAGCGCAAAATTAGGATTCCAGAGGAAAAGAATCCCATTGATTTTCTCCATAGACAATAGCCAATAAAAGTTGATTGCAAAATATTAAATACATAGAAATATGTATTGGCTATTATTATCAATGACCATTATTTTTTTTGTTTCTGTTTCCATAATTACCTTATGCATATTTTTTTACATAATGTTTTAAATATAGAGATTATATATGTATTATATTTGATTGTGATATTGATCGACTGACTGAAAAAATATTTTGAAAAATATTAAAACATATACAAATACGGTCTCAATATTATAATCAATGACTACAAAGTTTTTATTTACTACATAGTTTTAAACACACACACACACACACACACACATATATAGCAGCAGAAAAATTATATTTAGCATACTATATATGATTAATTACAGTAATTGTGACATTATGTGAACACATCATAAAACATTTATCCCACTACAATCAATCTAAAAGCTTTATTTTTATTTATTTATTTTTTATTTTTTTAATTAATGATTAAATATGCTGTTGATAATTTATTTTATTTTTTTTTATTTTATTTTTTATTTTTTTTTACATTTTACCTTATTTGTATAGTTGTATTTTATATTTAATCTGTATATCTGTATTTATGTTCTACTGTTAGTGTTATCTGTATGCACCAAGGGTCTGAGAGTAACGCAATTTCAATTCTCTGTGTGTATGTGCTGTACATGTGGAAGAATTGACAATAAAGCAGACTTGACTTGACTTGACTTGACTTAATTGAAGCTGGTGAATTAGTCAAGCGTGAGAGTTACATCAGCAGTTTAAGAAGCTGTAAGAAGCAACAGCTAAGCTAATTAGTTTGACTCATGCAAAATTAAATGCATGAGAGAAAGACATTAATCTGAATTATACAGAAACAAATAATAATAATAAAAAAAAAAATAGAAAAATGAGAGTGGAACATGTAGACATAAAAGACAGAAATGTGCCTGTTGATAGCCTTGTGTACTTGCACAAACTGCCAGTGCTGTTTTAGCAGTTGATTCACTAAAGGAATTCAGGTAATGAAAGAAATTTCCATTGAAAGGTGTGCTTGAAAAGAAAAAAAGACACAATTTAAATGGCCAAAGTGCAGAGCTAAATCACTGCAGATAGCGGCTGTTTAAGCAAATTTGCGGAGACCTGAATACGATGAAATACAACAAACAAAAGTGACAAGTGTTTAATGAATTTACTTCTAATTTGGCAGACAAGACAGATAGATCGATATAAATAAGTAAACGAATAAATAAATAGAGAGAGAGAGGGAGATAGAGAGATGGACTGACCCGAGACAGCACATGAACACTGGCAGCAGTAACATGAGCAGAGAGGAGAGCAGTGGAGAGCCTGCATTTCTCCTACACATGGCCTCATCCTAACATACATTACCCAGCCAAATACACAGCACGAGAGAAAGAGAGAGGAAGAGTCATGCAGAAAAATGTTTGACAGTCAGAAGTTTAAGCAACACATGAAGAAGTGCTTGAGCCAAAAAGCGTTAATACTGTAAGTAAAAAGACAGAATCCAGAGCAGGAAAAGTAGGTGTGTTTAGATAAAGATACACTACTTGGTCAAAAGTATGTGGACACCTGAACACCCTTCTCATATGTACTAGTTGAACATTTAAATTCAAAACCATGGACATAAATAGGAAGCTCAGCTTGTTCAAATTCATTCCAAAAGTGCTGAATGGGGTTCATGTCTTGGTTTTGCGCAGGCCAGTCAAGTTCTTCCATACTAGACTCTTCACATCTTCAAAAATATGACTGGATAACCATACGCTTGATTTTATGCACCTGTTGTATCTGAAACACCCAAGCCAGTTAATTAAAAAAAAAAGGTGTCCACATTCTTTAGGCCATGAAATGTATGTTTGTGTCAGATTAGAACATGTCAAACAAAGCCAAGCTCTCCCAAACCAAGATCTATCACACAGAGACCAATATCAGAGTTTCTTTATGTTGATCATGACTCAATGATTGTCATACTGAGTCTCAGTGTGGTAGATCTCAGGTAATGACTGAAATGAGAGCAAACTAGCAAATGACTGCTAGTTTGGTCTCGATCTGTTGTGGGATTTTGAGGTGTTTGGGTGACTTACACTTGCATTGTTGTCAAAGCACTGTGTCGGACCTTTCCGATAGCGTGGGTTCTGGGCTATCTTGCAGGGATCTGGACCTGGAGCTGTGAGACCAAGTTCAGGATACAAATCAGCACAATCTGATATCATGTGAAAACGCAATGAATTTGTAAAATGTGATTTGTATGGAAACATGCGATTGCTGGTTTATTTAGTAAAGTACCAAAAATACCAGCATCGCACAATTTTAAAACTTTGCAACCTATTTAACCATCATAAGTCACGTATTTCCAAGGAAAATGGGACATTTGATGAGATAAACATGTTGGGTAATGACTTGAGAACTGATCAACCATTTTTCCAGTTCACTGAAACCAGCTGTTCGAACGAACCGATTAGCTAAAATGACAGAGAGAGGGAGAGAGAGAGAGAGACATTCTTCATTTTTTGTGTGTGAAATTGTGAGACGCAATGCATTTACTGGAAAAGCTACTTCTAGTTATTTCTGAATTTCCTTCCCAACGCTCATCACTAAGTTTCTCAATACCAAACAGTAGGTTTGTTTGTGCATGAATGAAGGATACAAGGCTTTTCTTCCTGGGAGAAACCTTTTTCACTAGTATGGCAATGAATTAGCGGGTCTGCAACAATAAGCACCAGATTTGTCTTCGGAAGCTTTTCAGCTATGAACTGCCTGAAAACAAAAACACAAAAATATGTACATACTAATGGGCACAATTCACCTGTGATAAAGATCACCTTGATCAATAAGAACTGGGTGATGACTAATTAAAATGTAATATAATTACATAAAAAATTCCATTTAATTTACTTATTGTTACATGATATGCCATCTATATAAAGAGAAAACATAAGTTACAGAATTATATAATTGCATGTTTAATTTAATTTTATTTCATATTTATTTATTGTTACATGATATGCCATTTAAATAAGTAAATAATAATAATTGAAATAAGTAAATAAATAGAAAAAATTATATAATTATAATAATCAATATACGATTTTTTTTCTCAAATAAAGATAACTGCTTTGTTTGTAGGTAAACGTATGTAAAGGTCAGGAGCAATCCATATGTTTTATATTGAAACTTTATCACATTAAACTGACAACCAAAAAAAAAAAAGAAAAGAAATTCGTTCCACGATTAAGTTCCATATAAGTCTCACCTGGAGCAGTTCTGACAATCCACAGTCCCCTTAAAAGTTGTCTCATTGTTCCCAAAGAAATACTGTTTCTGCTCTTTGATGCAACTCTCTTTAGATGGTTTTTCAGACAGGTCCTCATCTAGGTCCACTGTGAACAAAACACAATCGCTATTCAATTGCCATGAGCTACAATACTTTAAGTGCTTATTTGAATTACTGTTGATTCAGTGGCTAAATAACACCCACTGAACGGTCAATCAGTCAATAAAAAAATCGAAATAAAATAAAAATTTCCCAAAGTACACAGAATACAGTTAAAATTAACACCATGCCCCTATCACATTTATAGTCTTTGACATTCTGAAATAGAATATGCGGTCACACTTTGTGGTCGCACATGAATTCAACATTAGCACTCATTAGCACTGTAGTTTTGGCAGTACACCAGACGAAAATGAAAACAGGCATCTTGCCAAATTGCAGTGGCTTGATCATCGTTTCAGAGCAATAAATTACTAATGTCGGGATCTTACCTGCCTCAAGGAAATTAGGAAATGTGATGCTGACAAACAACTGCTGCAATATCGACCTGGAGAAATCAGAAGAAATATTGATTTTGATAAGAACAATGTTTTTGTCCGTATAATGAAAGTCTTTGGGTTCCAAAACAATCCTATTCACTTGTAAACACAACAAAACATAAAATGAGGCACTTTAAAAAATATATATCACCTCTTGTTTTCCCACAAAAGAAAGGTTTGGAACATGAGGGTTAGTGTGATTTTTGAGTGAACTGGGAAAGTTACATAAGGCATCATTTCAATTCACTCACCAGGCTGCTGCAGAAGCCCACCAACCAATGTTCAGGATGTCAGCTATGGTGGGCTAAAAGGGACAAACAACATGTTTTAAACCTACACAGGGCACTAGGGCCACCTAAAATGTCCTTGTGATGTACCATCCCCATTAAAATCAGCATAAACTCTAAGATGTTGGCACCTTAAACTCTTATTCTCTCAGACATTCTTCTCTAACTTTGCAAGTTGCATATCCGGAGCTGAGAAGCACCAAAACATCCTGATTTTTATTGGCAGGGGGCCCTATTACGACCCTGCCAGACAGAAAGGACCCGGTGCCAAACAATACGGGAGATATTAGACGAAAGCTCAGCAGATGCAAGCTTAAATCCACAAACAAGGCTAAACGAATGAGCTCAGGGGACCTTTAGCTGCCACACACACTGCTCTGATTAGCATGAGAGAGAGGAAGTGTTTTTTTGTGATGATTCATGGTTGACTCTCTGTGTTGTGAGAGATTTAGTCAGCATGTAAGACAAGGCCGAAATCGTTCAAGTCACAAAGATCAGAGAGCGTATCGTGAGGATAACTTATCAGTGTGATATGGAACAATAATATGAAGTTCACTAATCGCATGACTAAACTTTATAGTCTGGTGAAAATGTGCTATGTAAGCAAATCCTTATTTACAGGTGATAACTTTGCCAAAACACTTTTCAGATAACACGAAAACCAGTTATTGTGAGGGGTTAAACTGACTTTATTTTTTGTCATAAGAAACTGAAATGAATTCAAAGAAGATGAAACTCACCACGTAGACTGATCTGAGACCAGCGGCAGCTTTAGATTCTGTGGTGGGTTCACAGAGGGCCTGGTAGTTGTAGGTTATTTTGACTGAGAACAGGGATTCATTTATCAGATTTCTCATTAGGGTGGGGTCAATCATACCGAAAAACTGTCCGATCTGAAAACAGACAATTCACAAACATGATTACTTAGAGATAGGGGGCATCATAGACTTTTATTGCTATTATATAAAAATCACGTAAAAAAAATCTATTGTCTATTGTCACAGCTCAAACAGTCACTTTCAGATCAAGCAGCCTTCTATTGGTCAACGTGATGAACTTGTGAAATCCCTGTTGTGAAATCTGTGTGGGGAATTTTTTTTCCCATCATGTAAAATTTCCATTCCTACCGAAATCCTCCCACAAAACTTTGCCGACATCTCCAAATGAACATCCAAAGTATTTGATCAGATTTAGTGTACTTCTGGGGACAATTTAATGCCCCAAAAGAATAACCTATATGAACCTGCATTTTAAAAAGCAACAGGCACAAACTGTGAAGATTCACCACTGAAAAATAAAGTATACGAAAGCTATTTTTGTTGTCAATTAACATAATTTAAACCCACAATGAAATGTTTGTTTATTCGCCATTTGGTCTGCAGATGTACTGAGATGAGCTACAAACAGTATAAAGAATTAAGCTCTGAATACACACATCTGCTCCTGAAGAGTGAGTCGTCCACTATTACCAGTTTGCTGGAAAACAAAGTGTGGCTTCTTTTTCGGTTAAGCAAAGGTGTAAAACAAAACTAAACTAAACTAAACTAAACTGAACAAAACAAAAAAACAAAACAAAAACAAAAAGTAAAACAAAACAAAACAAAACAACTCTGTTCATATTCTCCACACTGATTCTTGGGTAAAAAAACAAAACAAAACAAAACAAAACAAAACAAAAACAAAAACAAAAAGTAAAACAAAACAACTTTGTTCATATTCTCCACACTGATTCTTGGGGAAAATGTGCATAATTCTGTGGAATCAATTTAAAAATGCTTAAATGTGTTAAAACAGAAATGTACAGAATTAAATGGTGAATAATTATACACAGCTTTCTGCTGAATTCTGTAACTTACTGTAATTTTCACAACATTGGCCGAGTTTCATAGCAGGCATGTGTCACTCTGGGTAAAAGGGTGTCTGTCTGTACTAATCTGTAGATAAAGTTCATGCTGTGTGTTTAAAGAGTGTGGAGCCCACCATGCTCAGGGGAGCCAATAGGACCTGTTCTAATCTTATTAGGACAGCCTACTGCATTACCATAATTTAAACCAAAGAAAGAGTTGTCTGTGAGCCCAGAAAATCTCTGAGGTGTGATACCGACCGCGGGTGTGTGAGGAATTAAAAAAATGCCCCTGTTCTGGTTACTGTTACGAACACACACAGCTTAACTTCCAGCTTTGTATTGCACGTAAGAATGTAAGAGTGTGTGCATCCGAGACTATAAGTCAGTCCAAAGGCGATATAAATCCTAGAGTGTACAGAACGGCCGCCGCTCCCTGTGCAATAACAGCCATAATGAATGTGCGGTTCTAGCCGACCCCTGGAGAGTCTGCCCACACAGAGTGGAGGAGACGGGATTTAGGGCACAATGGGTCCCCTTGGCTTCAGCCCTGCTGCCAAACACTCCGGCCGTGATTTATCCTGCACACACTCCGCTCTGATTGGTTTTCCTTGCTGAGCCTAACTTTAAACCTTTACTCTACTGCTGTTGCCGGCAGGGTGCAGGTGGGGTTGGGTGGGCGCTCTACAGGGGTCAAAGAAGGGGAATGTGGAATGGAAGCAAAATGGAGAGCTGCCGATTGCATAGGAAGAGAGGCACACCATTGAGAGTTCCTTATTGGTCATGACAAGGAAGCCTCCATCGTCCAGAAGAAAGCAGTCCAGATTCTTTGAGAGAAAAAGATAAATACAGTTTTAGTGTAATTTAAAGTAAGTTTGTGGTCAGTAAGTTTTTTTTTTTTTTAAAGAAATTAATACTTTTACTCAGCAGGGATGCGTTAAACTGGTCGAAAGTGACAATAAAAGACATTTATATTGTTACAAAGGATTTCTATTTTCAAACAACTTTACATTCATCAAAGAATCCTGAAAAAAGATTTCACGGTTTCCACAAAAATCATAAGCAGCACAACCATTTTTAACAGTGAAAATAATAAGAAATGTTTCTTGAGCAGCAAATCAGCATTTTAGGCTCATGTGACACTGAAGACTGGAGTAATGATGCTGAAAGTTCAGCTTTTCCATCACAGAGATAAATAACATTTTAAAATATACTAAAATAGAAAACAGTTATTTTGAATGGTATTCCTTTCACAATATTACTATTTTTACTGTATATTTGAGAAAACTAATACCGCCTTGATGGGCATAAGAGACTTCTTTAAAAAAAAAAAAGAAAAAAAAAAGAAATTCTTACTGACTCCAAACTTTTAAAGAGTAGTGTATATAATATAGATAATAACATCTCTTTAGATCTAACACAAGTAGTCACATAAATATGATCTTACGACATCGCTCCTCCTGCACCCACAGATTTCACCAACACACTGTGCAGGAAGAGTAAAAATACAGACAAATTCATATTAGAGTTGTACAAAAATATCAAAACTGTATTGGTTAACCAAAATAGTTTTGATATTTTTGTGCAACTCTAATATGAATTTGTCTGTAGGCAATATTAGAGATTTAAAAAATGTATGGGTATCAGTGGACAATGGACATACTGACTCATATTGGGTATTTAATTGTTGTGCATTGAAATTAATCTTTAAAAACATCAACAATAATAACACTATTAAACGTAAATGCAAATCTCAAAATTAATATTAGTTTTTCAAACTGTGCCTTACAATGTTGTGATGCCTAAGTTCACCTGTAGCATTTAGAAAAATGAATTTAGTTTTAGTGTTTATTTTGAATTTACTTTTTTTTTGGATTTTGAAAATCATCCATTTATTATTGTCTATTCAGTATTAACCATAACTTTCATCACTGCATACCTAATTCATACAAATGGCAAACTGACACTATTAAGATTAATCAAACTGACAATATGCTCAACCATCCTTCTAACCTGCACTACAGTTAACATAAATACAGGTAGCTAATTCCTTGCACTCACATTGGGCGTAATCGTAGCATTGATGAAGCTTTCCATCCAAGTCAGTACATCCAGTTTTACTCCAACCACTGAAACATTCAACCAAAAGTAGTTTAGTTTTAAATTTTGCATCAATTCATAATCACACAATCAAACAAAAATGAATTGACAAAACAGAAAATCAACTTTGATTACGCTATTGGTAGCTTTCTGAACTGGCCACTTCTGGTAAATATATGAGATAATCTCAAAATACTGTTTGATTACTTGACCAGGTTGTTATATTGGTTTATCACTACATGCTTTCTTCTGTCTTTCTGTCCCAGTGATTATCTACAGTACTGTATATTCCCATGGTATCTAATAAAACTATAACGTCAGACTCTTACCTGCTGGCTTCAGCATGAATTCATCAACTCGCAGGTCCATCGCTCTGCTCACTAAAACCGAATCTTGAGTTTCTGATAAAGAGAGGACAGAAAATATCCATTAAATCCAAAAGGAAAAATGGGATATTGCTGTATAATAACCACAAACACATACTTACCATTGTTTGCATTTGGTGCTGATGTAAATATATAAACATCGTTGTCCAGACTTCTCTTGTAGAAACTAGGCGCGCGCACACACACACACACACACACACACACACAAAGCGCGATCATTTTAGTCTAAATCTCATAGGCTAAGCCTGCCTGGTATCTCCTCTCTAAAGCTTTCAAATATAATAGTACCTCGCAGGATAGACTCTAGTGACACCACCGTCTGTCGCCACAAACTTAGCCTTGATTCTCTCATTCCTGAAAACCACAAATGTAAATAAACCAAATTAGACAGAAAAATAACTGCTCTTAAAATAGCAAAAAAATAGAAGTTCACTGAAAAATTCTATCATCATTTATCATCTATGCTCCTTATGTGATCTTCTTTCTTCTGTGGAAGACAAAAGGAGATGCTTAGCAGAATGTGCATGCTGCTCTTTTCCATACAACAAAAGCATACAGTGGCCAAACTCCTATAAGGAAAATATAGCACCTTAAAAGACTATTTTTATGATGCTCTTTTGTCCATTTTGGAACTTGACAGCATATATGCTTTCATTGCATGGAAAAAAGCAGCATGAATGTAGTTCAAAACATCTCCTTTTGTATTCCACGTTCATACAGGTTTGGACCAACATGAGGAGAGTAAATGACGACAGAAAATAAATTCACTTGGCCTTGTGCATTTTGAATTTATAATTCAGTGCAACTCACAGTCCCTGTTCGCTCCAGTATTTGGCCAGTTCAGCGGTGATGCCAGCGTCCAGCAGCAGTCTGTTTATTAGCTCCATATTACCTGAGGAACCATACATAAAAAATAGGCTTCTATCGACATCTCGCCATCCCTTTATCATCGCTTTGACATGACAAGTATCAAAATGACTCTCACACTACAGGAGCAAAATCTAATGGAAGATCAATAGGCACAGAACAAAGCTTTACGTCATTATAAGCTTCACCTTTGACTTGATAAATGCATAAACACCTGTTGGTCATGAGTAAGAACAGGCTTCACATTATGACCTTTGAGGCAACCGATGCCAAAGTCATAAAGAAGTAGAACTTCATAAAAAGAGAGCGAGACAGCGACGCAAAAATGAGGCGGTGAGACATGTCGGGAAAGTAACATGCAGATTAATTTTCCGAGACGTGGAACATGATTGTATTCTTCGGCTGTATGAAACGGCAGTAAGTGTTCAAAGGTTTGTTTTTTTTTTTTTTTTGGTGCAGGCATGTTCAGAACGTTAGAGTGTTTTATAACATCGCACTGCAGTTCATTACCACAAAGCCTTTACGACAAAACACACACACACTTCAGAGAGAGCAGCTGGTGTACGACTTTATTCCGCCCCCCTCTGCACGCTGCATGCTTTTCATTAGGACCTGATTGAGAGCAGCGCAAGAACACAATTCAACTGATCGGCCTGTGTTTGACAGTGAGGAAATCGTGGACTTAAAATACCAGGCCTCTGTGACAAATAGCCACAAAAATGAGTGTGCAATATTGTGCTGGTTACAAAATTTTATTGTCTATGCTCATGAGGAAAAAAACAGACAACAACATAACTGAATGAGTCAAAATCATTGTCTGTTGTTTAATGTGAGTGAATTTTTGTTCTGTTGGATTTCTGTTGGATATCTGAAATAGAAAAACTTTTGGAAATTAAATTAAATTTAATATTTAAATTAAATGTGCTATTTAATTAAATTAAATGTTTAATTTAATTTAATTTAATTTAATTTAATTTAATTTAATTTAATTTAATTTAATTTAATTTAATTTAATTTAATTTAATTTAATTTAATTTAATTTAATTTAATTTAATTTAATTTAATTTAATTTAATTTAATTTAATTTAATTTAATTTAATTTAATTTAATTTAATTTTGCCAATGTATTGGCACATATTTTCTCTCTCTTTTTTTCCTGTGACATGTCCTGCTTTTCTTCTTTCACACGGGGTAATTGGTGCAGAATTAGGGGGTTGGGGTGGGTTCATAGGTATAAAGTATTACAGCCAAACCTACACATTCAACACATGTGCACCAAACCAAGTGATTACCGCAGCACCAACTGATCCTGATGAGATCAAAGCGGCCCGCGGAGAGGAAGGTGAGGGGAGGGGGGTTTCTGTGTGTGCGGGCAAAGGGAGGAGGTTTACTTAGCATTAACACGGTCAACAAGAGAACAATAAATATAATTAGACTCAAACTGAAATACACAAAACCCCTAATTTAAGGATTGCTTTTGATGTGGACGAGTTGTTTTTAAACACAGTAGAAGTAGTGTAATTGTGAATAGAAGCTTTCGCCTAACTCAAATTGATTGCAATTGAATTGAATTGATTTAAAAAAGTAGTAAAATGTTAAATGAATAATATTTAAAATACTGTATTAGAAATTATAAAAATGTCCTAAAATATGCAATTGCAATATTTAGTCATTATATTTATAAGACTATGATAAAAACTCTTTATCCACAAATTTTGAAAATGTATTAAAAATGTGTAATGTTATTATTTAAATATGCACTGTATTAATTTTTAGAATACTATTTTAAAGTGCAGCAACTTTGAATCCTGATTAAATTAATCAAAATTAGTTTTATATTAGTATTTAGTTTTGGCATCTTTATCAGGGCTGTGATATTCATACTATGGACTGATGGCATTTTTTTTTTAATGTATATTTCAGAATGTTAGTTAACACTGCTGTGTGAGTTGACATCTTTCTCTCTTCTTACCAATGTATCAATATCAATCTCTGCATTTTACTAAAAGAATATACTTTTTTTATTTTAAGCTAAAAGTAGCTATGTTTTAATCAAGATTATGTCCTTATAAACTGCTCACTCCCCCGTGAGCAGCCCTGGAAATGAACTCTGAACCTTTAAACTAGCGGTATGAATCCCTGACCTCAGCTCAGCTCTGGATTTGAACCAGCAGCCCAGAAAGCTCCAGAAGATACTCACACAGCGGGTTGTTGGGGGTCTTTCTGTCTATGTATTCATTGAAGTCGATGAGAAATTGTGTGATGTTGTTACTCTGAGCTTTCAGGTCTGTGCAGTAATCTCTAAACCATGGAAAAGGAACATTTCTCAGAATCATTTAGAAGAAATAAAGAAATAAAAGCTCAGAACAACATGAAGCAAGTAAACGATCACAGTATTTTTGGGTGAACTATCACTTTAAGAAACTGACCTGGGTGCTATTAAAGTATATCCATACTCTTCAAATTTGTCCACCTGCAGGCTTTCAGAAACTGAAAGAAAATATCAGAAATCAGCCAAATCAAAGATCATTTCAAATAAGTTCTGTCATTACAGAGCGGAAAATAATACAATACAGATATATACAGAATAAAAACAGACCCCAAAACTTACAGGTACATTCATTATGACCTGACAATGAAACACAACTCTACAGACAGCGGGCTGCTGCACAACAGCTTGTGAAAATATGTCTCTGAGCTTCGGTCTAGTAATGCGGTCATCTGCAGTGACACCCTGCTGTTTAGGCACACGACCTCACATACGAGTGGCCCAGAGAGAGAAAGTTCAAAATGTTCTTGCACAGAGAAATGTATCTCAAAATATACATGAACAGTGATTTTAAAAGTAGTAGAATAAAATAAAATAATCTCATTAAATATGAAAAAATTCTAAGCAAAGTTGAGATGCAGAGCAAGAAATATTTAAGATTCTGCACTATGATTATATATTTTAAATATAATAATAGTTCATAAATAAATAAATGTCTCTTTCAAATTCATCATATTCTCCAACATACATTCTCCTACATTTATGCATGTGGGTATGTTTGTGAGTATGTTTGTTCTTTCTGAAACCAGATGATGGACTTTAACATGGGAGAGGTCAGAGGTTACATCCAGGTTCGAACATGAAGGAAAAGACAAAAGGGAGAGAAAAACAGTACTTGCCAGTTTCTTCTGAAGGGTCAAATGCCGCAAAGAGGGAAAGGAGGGAGCGATTTACCGAGGAAAGGAGGGAAAGAGAGGCAGAGAAACAGGGTAAAACCACAGGGGTCAAAGATCACCAATATTTTATTCACAGAACAAGCCTTGAATAAAAATATTGCACTCTCATCTAAGGTTTTCTGCTGGTTGTAAATTGAAAGACAAGCAACGTTAATGAATTATACATTCACATTAGCCAAGAAAGATGACAGATGGAGAAGGGGGAAAAAAAATTCTGGTAAATAATTATAAGTGACTTGAAAAGTGACTTTCTTTAAAATGAACATCACTTGGTTTTGACATTTTATTAATGCAATAACATTCTGACATTTTTAAATGTGGCCAAACTATCCAGATACATTTAGAGCCCACTGTATTTTCAACTGATTTACATTAAACTCAATCTCTGTGATGGTGTCAGGTTGAAAAAAGACAAAAAAAAGTGGTAAAATACGGTTTAGGGGGTGTAAAACATAGTTTAGCAGATGTGCTGTCACATGGACAAGCCAAGATCTGGTGGCAGACAAGTGATTAGCACAGATTGCTATTGCGGAACAGTATCGTTAGAAGCCTTGAAGTTACACTGTCCTGTTAAAACACACACATACCACATCCGCACCTGGACATGAACACGTGGACCCAACACACATACAGAGCACATGCTTTCTAAAGAGCAAGGCCTGTATTTTGTTAAACCGCCCCTTTACGAGGTTTTGAAAGCATCCAGATGATTCAGAGAGCGAAGGGGCGGAGATAAAAGCACAAAGAGTCACACTCATGTCCTCTGCGGTTTCACCTTCCAAACCTCCAGGAAAACATCCATTAAACATCTCCTGATGCTCTCAGACGTATACACACATTCAGAAAGACTCAGTCCCGGTGAGTAAATGTGACACTTCATGACACTCATACCATTGACAAACACATTAAAGTTGCAAGGAGAGAACACATCTAAACTGCTTTGCTCACATTTACACATGCAAAGCAAACATAGAAGAGTCTGTGTTTATGCATTATTTTCTACTGTAAGTGGGTACTGTAAGTGTAGAGCAGGTGCTAGTAGTAGAGATAGGCCGATAAGGAAAAATCTAGTTTAAAACACATGTGCCAAGCTCTTAGAAATGTCTCTTTGTATTCATGTTGGTTTCATATGGTTTTGAAAAACTATAGTGTACCATTTTTTAATGGTTTCAAGTTAAAATTGAATGACTCCAAAAATGTCATGCGGTGTAACCATCAAGTAAAAAGTAAAAACATATTTTCCTTACACCCTTAATCTGTGTACACTTTATATCAGTATTTTAAATAAATATTTTTAGAATTAAACAAATATCAAGAATTGTTATTCATAAATATCATTACTTGAACTCACCTTACCATTTAAAAAAAAAAAAAAACATAAAATTATCTGAGTTAAAGAGACTTATTTACTTCAACACACTGTTACGAGGGTCTTCATCGGCCATTACATCATTTCCGATTTATGATTTCCAATTATGAGTCTGCACATGAATCATTACATGACTTTAATTTAGACAAACATTTTTTTAGATATTTATAATATTTAAACAAAATTGCTCCAATGCTTTATTTCTAAGAAATAATAGTAACAGTAAAAAACTATTCCAAACTATTTAATAAGGTTTTCCTTTCAAGAATTTCTTTCGATATATTATATCAGGAAAATTGTATTAACTTGACATTTTTGACTTAATACCCCCATAAATATTTAAATGTATTTTAATTCAGAAATGTAATTTAAAAAAATTGTCATAGAATATGTGAATTCAAGTCACTGTTTGTGAGTTGCATTTTAATGTATTTTTGAATAAATGAATAGATCCTAAAATGAGTATTCATATTATTATAACATTTGAAAGTGATACTCTGTGACATTTTTGACTTAATACCCCCATAAATATTTAAATGTATTTTAATTCAGAAATGTAATAAAAATTACATTGTCATAGAATATGTGAATTCAAGTCACTGTTTGCTGTGATTTGCATTTTAATGTATTTTTGAATAAATTAATAGATCCTAAAATGAGTATTCATATTATTATAACATTTGAAAAAGTTACATTAACTGAAGTTCATACTGCCAATAAAATAGTTTAAAATAAGTCTTTACTGACAATAAGCAGCTCAGAAAACTTGAATGACTATTCCATCTGAGCTAGGATATCACAAAAAAAACAAAACAATATCGGCCGATCTCTACACTGGACACTACGAGAAGGAAATACAGAAGGAAAATACTTGCCGGAATTTTCTGAGAGTTTCCAAGCTATACAGACAGACAGGGAACAGAGGAACGGGAGAGAGATGGAGAGAAAAACAGAGAGAGAGAGAGAGAGAATGAAAAGGGTTTGGGGAAGGCAAGATATAGGAAAGAACATGAGGGATTTCACAATATTTTATTCAACCCCAGAAGCTTTGAATAAGAATATTGTACAGGAACTGTGAGGGCTCTCCTGAGGGGAGGGGCATTTGAGATTCACTTTCCTCTCTCAAAAGCCACATGAGAGAGAACGAGAGGGTAAACATGGGCACAGAGGTGCATCTGGAAGAAAAACCTGGGCTAATATGCACAAGGTGAAACGCTTTTGCCGTTAAAGGAGTCGTCGCCCCGTCTGGCGCACGCTCATGGAGACAAACCACAACTGAGGAACCATGCTGTTACATCTCTGGAGGAGGTGAGGGTGTCAAAAAAGAGATGTGAAATGGACAGACGGTGTAGGGTTGAGCTGTAGGGGACTCTCTGGATAAAAACCAGGAGCTCATGCTACGGCTTCTGGCCTCTGAGCAAAACTGGCATTCCAATCTCTTTGATAAAGGTGCGAGAATGTGAGTTATGGTACTTACATTTGGCCTGAGTGATGGTGTCTAGTATAGTGGCCTTGATGTAGCTGACACTGTAATCAGGTAGAACTAAAGCAAGACTAGACAGAAGACACAAGAAATAAATGAGGATGAAGAGCAGTAGACTTCCTGACATTATAAAAATTGAGAAATTAACATCCTGTGAAATTAAAATTGGAGTTTTGTAGCTTTTTGTCCATTTAGGTTGCAATTTACAGATTCCAACTCAAATGTAAGAGATTTCAAACTTTCAAACTTAACATTACTCTAGTTTGATAATTTGTGTCCTTATGGAAGAAGTATAATGTCAAATTTCTGTTGAACACTCTTCAATGTGACTTTGAACAGTGCCCCCTAGCGGCAATGTTAAAAAAAACATTCATATGTTCACTTGTACGACAAACACACCTTCACAACATAAAAACATGTAACAAAAACAAAACAAGACGAGACAAAAACAAAGCAAAAAATAAAATAAAGAAATAAATAAAAACAAGACAAAAGCAAAGAAAAACATAAAACAAAAAAAGACAACAAAACAAGACATAAGACAAAAACAAAACAAAACAGTTTCTCAGACCTGTAGTCTGTGTCATGGACTGGACCCCAAGTGTAGGTTCTGATGCCTCTGTCTATGTAGCGCTGCAATAAGAATAAAATAACACTTAGTGGTTTAATGAACTATTGATCTCTGTTTTACTTCTGAATAACTAGTATTGCATAGCCCTGTGGTTCTCAACCGGTGGGTTGCAACCCAAAAACATGTAAAAGAGAGCAGAATTTTTTGTTGTTGTTGCTGTTTGGCTAATCCAACTCTGCACCATTTTAATGTAATTTCATCTGTCATTTGTTAAAAGAAACATATGATATACTTACTGTATTAATATGGCTAAGATAAACATTTTGCAGTTAAATTTTACCAGAGGTATTTAGAAACTATAAAATACAATGAATACTTTTTAACATTTAAAGGCCATTTTCATTTGCTTTTGTACAATTTAAAAAAATGGAAATCATTTTTATGTTGTTTCCATTTGACCTCTAATAAAAAAAATAATAAACTGGGTTCTGAAGCAAAATCAGCTGAGAAGCACTTCCGGTTTAAAGCATGCATGATTACCTCATCTTGAGACTTCAAAAGTGTTTGGAATCTCTTTTGATCCTTCTGACCATCTATCATACTTCTTCTGATCTACAGACAGACAGAAGTCAGACAGACAGATGTGTCACTGATGTACCATTACTGTAAATACAGTACGTTACTGGATCTTCAAAAGCAAATAGTGTCACTTTCAACTAAAAGAAGAGACTGCTTTCATTTACCAGTGTAATCTAATATCCTATAATAGTCACTCTCAAGCGAGAAAACAAGTAATTTGGGTTGTGAAGTGAGAAAATGGTATTTTTATAGCCTACATATTGTTATGAAATCACACAGGACTGAGAATCAACTTTGCTGTTTGTTGATGCTTCAATAATCACTTTGTTATGACTTGAACATCTGTACAACAGAGCACAAGTAAAGTTACAAAATCAAATCACACCAGCCTGTATTCATTTTAATACAAGAGAGCTCGAATCTGAACGCTGATTATATATTTTTGAGTTTGGGATAGTTCACCAAAAAAATTTAAATTCTGGTATCAATTACTCACCCTTGTGTCAATAACATATTTTGAAAAAGGGTTTTTGTCCATTAAATGAAAGTCAGTTGGGTCCAGCGTTGTTTTGAACCCCATTTACTTTCATTGTACTGACAAATCAGCTTTTTATTTTTA